GTTGATGGTCTCGAACCTGGTGTAAAAACTGTTGAGGTCGTCAGGCAGGCTGTCTGTGGCACTGATGGTCTGTGAGCAGCTCCTGTAGTCAGTGATGTGTTGCAGGCCCTGCCACATGCGCCTGGAGTCAGCAGTGGAGTAGAATCCATCCAAAGACTATCATAAGAAACTCAGGGGAGAGGATGAGACTCCCAGTTCAAATAGTTTTAGACTGAAACTGTGATTTCCTAAGAAACCAAAACAAAAAGGCATTGTTTTGGTTCGGTGACTCTATGTGGAGATATGAACCACGACAACAAGAGTAAAAAAAAATTTCTTCAGCCACTGTTAGAGCAGGGCAGGTATACAGTAAAGTCCCAGGCATGTTCAGTGAGGCAATGACTTGACAGGTTGCATGGAGAAGGGGAGGAAGAGGAGAAGGGAGAGATGAGGGTCAAAGAAAGGGTAGCAGATGGGGTAAGGGGGGGATGCAGTGGAAGGTCAGCCTTTTAATCCAGGATGCACAGCTATGGGTGTCTGACATTTAAAAAGCAGGATGTGTTGATCAGCCAGTCAGGCAGCAGTGGGCTGTTATGAATGTTAGCATTTAAAGGAAAATAACAAATTTATGAGACCTTGGTCACATTTCTACAAGTCAGCGATCAGAATTTTGTTGATGTCTAAAAAAAGAAAAAAATAAGTATTTTTTTTGGACCATCATCCTCGGACCAGTATTGACGTACATTAGCCTGTTAGCTCCCTTCTGTTTCTGGATGAACAGATGACTACAGTGTTAGCAAGAAGTGAGAAGCAGGCAGTAAATCTATCAACTGCGCTACAGTGAATATTTTGTTTGTGTTGTAAACTTTAATGGCTTTACAGGAAGCATGTTTACTATCCGGCCAAGACTGGATGTTGTTCAAGATCAAAACGATGACACAGTTTGATGCTGAAGTGACCAATCAGCACAATCGCTTGATTATTTTTTGACATTTGAACAGAAAAAGTGCAAAAAAATGCTGCAAAAAATCCATACAGCAATGGAATAGTCACTGCGGTAATCACCAGTCAAACATTAAACTCTTTTTACTGCTGCTATTTACTGGCTTTTATTTTCTTTGTGAACCCATTTGCCATCAACTATGCAAAGTCCACACACCTGAAGTGTTCGGCCAATAAGAACGGAGAACTCCTCAGTAGTTGGTGAGGCCATATTTGAATGAACATGTCAATGACAAATGAGCAATAATACTTGTGTGCATTGTAAACAGCTCTTGTAACTTTAAAGTTAACCCTATAAAACCATTTGTATCACATGCTTTAAGTGGTCAAGTTTTCAAAATGGTATGGACAAAATTTAGTTTTTATTTCAAAAATAAACATTGTTGTAAGTAATTTTTATTTTTATTTTGTGATTGTTTCATAAACACCTCAGATGCAATTTTTTTTTAAATAGCAGAAACTATGTAAAGTATACTTTCTGTATTTTATTTTTTAAATTTGTCTTCAGCTCAGTGTGTCAACTAAGAAACAAGAAAATTCCACTTTCCACAAGCTAAATTTAACCATTTTCAACCATTTCAGACAGCAGTTTGAGCCACTGCCTTTAGTCTCCTTTTTTTTTATTTTTGAAGGCTCTTATTTGCCCCACACAGGCTGCCACAGGAGGCGCCATTAAGTTAGTGGCTCAAACCGCTACAATATGGAACTGCTCCCGCTCAGAACTGCTGTCCCCTCATGAATGTAAAACAGAACAGCCACACACACATAAACAACAACTGTTCATTATTACTGTACCTGCAGTATGAGCACGAAGAAATCGACAGGTTTGCCCCTTTGGTAGACGTAGTGATGCAGTGAGTGCTTGTCGCTCTCGTTGAACTTGATCTCCTGGATCACATCTGGATGGCGCAGGATACGCAGCAGCACCTTGTCTGAGATCTGAGACGGGCTGAACAAGCTCACCTCTGCAGGAACACAAGAAACAGGAAGTTGTTGACTGGTATTAAAATTCAGGATTTTTGTTAAAATCAAGACTCGAACAAACTAATTTGTGGATCAAAAACATCTGTACCATAGATATAGTTAATACATTTAACATTTAATATTGATCACTTGGTTCAGTTCTATTGTACAGTAATATGTGACTGACAACATGTTTTTAATGTAATAGCAGTGAGTTCTATCTTTTTGTACCATTAACTACACAAATTACTTTATTTTCAGGGCAGAAAAAAAATAATCTGGACACAAATCTAATAGTGAGATAATGTGCAGTTCCAGGCATTTATTCAAATCAAGCATCCATTAATTTTCTTTTTAAAGTTGAGATGGGCTTTCGACGTCAGTCCTAATAACTCTTGTATTAAAAAATGATCGATGTGTAATTGGTGATAATGTTTATTTACCATGCATCTCTCAACTGCTGTAAGCCAGAATGTTGCAATCGGAGTCAGGCCATGAGTGACTCGGTCCCCACCCAAACTCACAACAAAGAAAACACTCCCACCTGCAAACAAACCCTAAGTAACACCCTGGTACCCTACCATCGCTGAAGTCAGTGACCAAAATACACTGTTCAGACATAATCAGTGCAGAGATCAGTGGGTCATCTTACTGTCATCACTCAGATACAGCAAAGCAGATACATTTGCTTTGTAACTGACACATATCAAAAGCTTGGTTTTACAACTTGTCGAAGACTGACGAAGGGGGCAAAAGTTAAAGCCTATGGGCAACAGAGCGTTGCTTCAGCCCTTGACGTGTGTCAAAACAACCAGGAATAAACGTTGTTGTTTATTCCAAAAATAACACCAGTTTGGCAGAGAGGCAGGGGTAATCTAGAACTGCATCTATCATAAACAAGGCAAGTGGGGGTGGGGGGGACTTCACTGTCCTAAAAATACCTACAGGAGTGGACACTTGGAATAATGAACATTAAATTCCAGTGCAGTTAACTGAGAAAAATTAGACCAACATCCTGAGAAAGAACAGTTGCAGAGTAAGCAGACACTGACGTAATGCCCCGCAGAAGGAAGACATGCTGCAACACAAAACCGTCTGAGGCTTTGTCGTATGAGCAACTAGTGCTAACAGCTTCCGGCAGCTTTGTGCTGCGCTAACCAAACAAGATTGCAACATGTTTACAAGCAACTTGTGACATCACAGCTGTCTGTCAGCACAGTACTCAGGCCGGCGGAATGCATGTAACCAAAATACATGGTCTAAATCAGTGTTTCCCAAACTTTGTTTTTCTGGGGACCCATATTTTAAGTCACAAACCTTTGCGACCCAAGTCAATAGACATTATTCGTAAACTCCTGGGAAACATGATGCGAGAGGACCCCCCAAAAAATCTCTTGCGACCCACCTGAGGGTCACGACCCAGACTTTGGGAAACAATGCTCTAAATCAGTGGTTCTCAAACTGTGGTACGCATACCACCGATGGTATGCGAGCGCTCTCTAGTGGTACGTGGGGAAAATTCACATTTTCACATTTACATTTTAAATTGAATAAATCTGAAACATACCATGCACAATTAATACAACAGTTAAACATAAACATCTTTATAAAAATGTATAAACATCTCTCCTGTGTGGTGGAAGCTAATAGGGAAGGCCTATGCTGCTATATTCTAATGTTGGTCATCATGGTGGTACTCAGAGAGATCAATGTTTTCTCAGGTGGCACAGAGTATAAAAAGTTTGAGAACCACTGCTCTAAATCACATATGTCAAACTCAAGGCATGTTGACCAAATCAGGTCGCCACCTCATTTTATGTGGCCCACCAGAGCTTAACATGCATGTGGTTGTTTTAAATAAAACTATCATATACAGTCCATACTAATGTTTACTGGGCTGGTTAAATGCAATGGTCAAATTCTGACAATTGTTTGAAATTTATAAACACTCAAAAATGATAACATAACAGAGTAGAATTATGGACTGGAGTGAATTTGTTTGCTTCCCACCTGTAGCCAGGAACCGATGGGCGGCGAGCAGAAGCTGAGAAGAAATCTTCACTTTGGATTCACTCTCATGTTTGAAGGCTGAGAAGTCTCTCTTGTTTTTGTTGGGTGCCACCTTTCTCCTGGTGCGATTGTCAGCTATGATGACACGCGGACAAAGACATGACAGAGGTTATTTATTAGTACATGTGGATAAAAATCAAGTTACAACCTCCTTACTTTCTTTTGAGAAAAAGCTAGATAAATTGTTTCACTTGTATTTTCTAATTCAACCTTTGTAGTAGACGTGACTACAACATAATGGTTTTTCCTTTTGCTCTTTAAAAAAAACGTGTCTTGTGAGTAGTTTTCTCATCTTAGTGGGGTAACATGGAACTCCATAGAGATAACACTGTCATACCTGCTGCAGCGCTGCAATCAAGCAATTGGCCCCACCTGCGCTCACCGGCTGACGCTGATGAGTGAGCAGTGTATTTAAGCTGCAGCCACACACTCCCCACTGCCAGATCGCCTTGTCCGTTTACGGAGGCCACACGGTCCTTTTCCAGTTCCAGTAGTGGAGATTCCCTGTAGTCCTACAGTTACCTGTCGTGACGATCCACGGCCAGTCTCATCGGCGCTGTGGACAAGATTCCTCTCGCCGTCTTTTGAGGAGAGTTCCTGCCGGCTCAGCCGTTCCGTTCCTGACTTGGCTCCGCTGCTCCGCTGTCCAGAGGGAATCCGCCGCGGGGGCGGCAATCCCGCGGGCGTCCCT